ATATATATATATAAATGATAAAAGAATACATTTATATACATGTTTAAGTAAGAATGATTTTATATTTAAACCTACGACTTTAAACCTGCCCACACTGATAAGCTGTGTGTTGAATCGCTTGTGTTGAGTCAGTCTGGTTGGCTATGCAAGGTTCCCTCTGGTTTCCTCCCATATTTAACAATGTCGTCTGCAAACTCTTTGCTTTTGCCAACAGCGAATCTGTCCTGTTCTCTTCTGTTAACCTGTTCATCACCACTAAAACCAGGAAGGGGCTCAGAGATCATCTGTTACTCACACCTCACCACAGTCTACTACCTCTGACATACTTATACAGCAGATTACTAACTATTTCCTCTTCATTTCTACATGTTTATTGAAGATAAAGGTGGTCTTATTTTTTATTTGGAAGGATGGTGAAGGGTATGTGGCTATAGAATACAAATTAGAACTACTGAGTTAGATGAAAATGGAGTCAGAGGGTAGAGAGAGCAGAATTGTGCTCTAGATCCAGGTTGACTCCTTCTGATCTTCTTCAAAGTTCTCCTGAAACCTCCCCAAAGTAAACATCAATATGTGAAGGTTTCTGATCATTTCTTTCTTAATCACTGCAGATCAGAAGAATTATGATACCGCTTTTATACCGTGAAGGGAAGAGAAATCACCTACTTTCCGTGGTTGAGGGTGGCAGTGCAGTTGGGCCAGCAGTCATGGTTAACGAGACTCAGATTGGGAAAAAGTCCCAAACCAACAGACTCCTGCCCTCTTTGATCCTGCAGGGTCAGCCCATTAAATTTAATCTGCAGAGACACATAGAGAGTTCAGAGAACCCTGCAGAACCAGAGCAAATTTCACTTCTGAGGAGGTTTTACTGACAATCCCGAAGATGTGGCTGATGTATTCGGAAGGGTGCTGCTTGGTTCCACAGGACCAGAATCTCAGGAAGTTACGCACGTCCAGTTCCAGCTTCTCCAGCTCCCCTGCAGGCAGATCCGTGAGGTGGTCCTGCAGCTGATCTACTGGCACCAGCTGGCTGTCTGAGGCCAAACCCTGGTCTCTATTTCTGCGCCACAACAGGCGAGCTGCCAGACTGGAAGGAAGAAGAGTAGAAAACAAGGTTCTGGTCATCAGCTTCTCTGTGCCAAAAACTCCCAGAGTGGTTTTAAACCAATCATGATCCGTCCTGCTGCAGGAAGCTCTGGAACTTCTTACCGAACGTTCTCATTAGGAACCGAGCCAGACTTCCTGATGGCCGCACATTCCTGCTTGTGATCATCCCAGCCCGCCGTCTGGCAGGTCCGGTCGCAGTAATGAGCAAACCGGCACTGAGCGCATCGGTGTAGATTGGCCTGACGACGGAAACAGCTGTGGCACACCTGGGAGGCCAAACTGGGAGAGGCAGACATTCTTTACAGTCTAATGCTAATGTCCAGAACCAATCTAGTTTTAACATCAAAAAACTTTTCTCTGATTTTGTAAATAGATGCAAAAATGCAATAAATTGACTTAGACTCAACTTATATAGCTTATATAGAGTACAAAGATTTAAAGCAAGATTCCATTAAAGATAAAAATACAACAGATAATATAAAAAGAGTGCATATAGTACAAAAAAAGCATAAAAAACAAAAAAAGTTGTAATATCCTGGAGTATGTTACCCTTAGATATAAAAATATCTGCACAGTAGAGAGCTAAGGAAAGACTAAACAGTAGTTGACTTGGATTATTGCACTTTTACTGCAGAATACTGACTACTGACTTTGTGAATAAGTAGAAATAAATTACAGAGGCTACACAGTAGTTGGCATGTGTTATTGCCCAGTGAGAGAGAAGAATATTGCACATGAGAGACAATAGATAATGTTTTGCATAAGATGTCCAAGGAGGGGGGAGCAGACTCTTGTGCCTCTTCCTATCACCTTCTCCTTCCCCCACGTGAGGAAGGCTTGTGGAGTAAAGTAGTTCAGCAGTCTGTTGGTCCCGCATTTGGAGAGGAGGAGCAATCTCCCACTGATCAGGCTCCTCTGAATGGTGAAGACAGTTTGCTAATAATGTCTAGCAGTTTTTAAAGTATCCTTATCTCTGCCACCGTCCCCAGAGGGTCCAGCTTCTTGCAAATTATAGAGAAGTACATCTACGTCATACTGTTACAGCTATAGTGGATAATTTCTGGGTGGCCGAATTGTTATACAGTATTATTAAGTTTAAAAAGTAAGAAAAATCCCAGGTTGCTATGGGGATTGCTGCCAATATGGAGGTAGGAGGAGACTGTAGCACTACGCTCCATTCACATCAAACACTTTCTGAGCATCAAAAAGACGTCCAATGCATCAACTTGGTGCGCTTTGAAGTCAGACGCTTGATCTGGCCGTTAAGCTGCTCTGTTCTTTTCCTTGCAACAGAGAGAATGCCTTGGCTGCTGTCGTTTGTGGTAAAAGCTGCAAGTACTACAATATAAAATCCAATGTTGACATTTTGTATCGATGCATGTGTTTATTAGTTGTGTCGCCACAGCTCAGAAAATAATGATCAGAACTCTGTTTTCCTGAACTTAAAATAAAAATCTCTTGCCTTTTTAAAACTAGTTGATTTTTTTATTGGCTGAACGTTGCCACATGATGTAAAACATTGTGGTTGCCCAGACAACGATCTTAACATAATGAGGTGTCCAATCCGTTTGCCAAGTTGGGAACATCTGTAGCGTTAGCGTGTCTAATGACCGATGAAGTTTTACCTGATCGATAACAAAGCTGAAAAAATCTGTTCATGGTGAACAAAGTAACTGAAAAACAACAATCGTTTGTTTTCTACAATTTAAATAAATGCTTTATTTGTATAAAATCTCTATAAAAGTCATTTTTTAAGATGTTCCATTTGTCCTCCTCTGCCCTCAGATCTTAATAAAAAGAATAAAAATAAACTGAGACTTTTTGTGTCATCTTGTTAAATGTCAGAGCTCAGTCTGTCTTATAGGGCAGTACTTTCCTAGCCTCGTGATACCATCCTGATCTCGCGAGCTTTCAAGGTTTCACTTGCTAATCAGTCTGGAGAC